TCTACATTTATACAACATATATGGAATAATCTCCTCAAAATCTTAATTCAGTTGTGTAAATACATTACTTCACTGTTTATGCAGTTGTTTATCTAGTCAAAATGAAAATACAGATAGCACATTTTTCACAAAATCACAATCCTTTTTAAAAAATAATTTTATTTGGCATTTAGTGGGCACTACACAAATCAATTAATATCAAGAACTTTTTGGATATATATATATATATATATATATATATAATTATTTATTCAAAAATTATAACATAAATATGTTATAAAATCACTACAAAAATAGCCATTTTGTTTCAACACTTCTGGTGTCTTATCTTATAGTGTTGAAACAAAATGGCTATTTTTGTAGTGATTTTAATAACATTTATGTTATAATTTTCAAATAAATGATTATATTTGCTCTACTCTGTATTGAGCACTCTTTTAAGAATAGTATTTTTTGGTTATTGGAATTTATTCCATATACACCAATCCTATACTTGGATGGATATATATATATATATATATATATATATATATATATATATGTGTGTGTGTGTGTGAACAATCTTTCTGCTCTCACCTCTTCTTGCCATTTCAAAAACAGAAATATATTTAAACCCATTAAGAGTATTAATTATATTCTCATAGTTCTTAATATCAAACATAAAATTTATTATTTTTAACTCTTCATTGATTTAATCATGTGCAAGAGTAACTAAAGCATGATTGGTCATTGATAGCTAAAGAGAGAAAAGTCAGTGAAAGTTTTAGAATCACAAATTAGCCAAAAGTCGCAACAGAGAAGCAGGAACAGAAGATTAAAGACTATGCTTTCATAATCAGGGAAATTAGCTTTTGTTTTAAATGTTGGTCACCTGCTCGTAATGCAATGATTAACATGCTGATAATTTCTTGTCTTTGGTTTCAAACCAGTAGTTTCGTTTTTATGGATGCATTTAGTTTCAACTGATCCTGACTGATTTCAGTACCTTTGCTTTTTTTTTTCTTTTTTTTTTTATTATTTTTATTTAAACACGCATTTAAAACTTTTGATCATGATACCAAGGTTTTAAAGTATCTACTCTTAGGGAAGTAACAAACTTATTTCTAATAAAAAAAAAAAAGTTTCCTCTAAAGTTATGAACCTTTTAATAAATAAATAAAAACAGAGTATCTACTCAAATATGAGTATCAACTAAAAATAATGTTTAAACAAATAAATTAAATATGTTGGATTAATAAAGGAAAAATCCATTCTTAGAAAAACAGGGCAGATATGTATATTTCATAAATCAGGAAAGATATATGTTCAAAAGCACTACTCGGGCCTTGTTTGATCAGGAGGTCCTACATGGTTGAGCGGCTAAGGCATGTCAGATCTAATGATGATTTCTCCTAGGGGACACAAATTTGAATCCTGGCTGAGGGCACATATTTTTATAAGAACATTTCTCAAATATTCAGGCTAGTAGATAGAAATAAATAAATATACAGTTTAATAAATAAAAAGAGAGCACTTACTCAAATATGAGCATCCATTAAATATAAGCTTTAAGCAAATAAATATATGTGTGTGTGTGTGTGTGTGTGTGTGTGTGTTATGGTCCAGGTTAGGACCAAGAAAGAACAACATGAACACAAAAGTAGAAATAATGAAGGTATATTACATGAAATAATAATACAAGATGTGGAAGGTGTTAGTATGACTGTCAGTCTGGTTTTGAGTGAACTACTATCGGCTTGACTCGATTCGACCCTCTCTCTCGAGACGTAGTATACATTAGGAAGAGTTCATTCTGTAGTTATAGGTAAGGACCCATGACAATATATATACAGTTTTCTTTTCATCACTAATAAAACACAGACAAGAAATCAAATTTAGATATTAAATGCTTTCCTTTATAAAAGTGTCTTTATAAAATTAGTTAGTATGTGTATGGTGGTGTTGTATCTGGAACATTCGCTGTAAACATTTTTGCCATAGGAAAACTTGCCTCAGGAATTTTTGCTGTAGGGAACTTCAATGTATAGGATTTTTGCCATAAGACAATTTTGTTGCATTTTTTTTTTTTAATACTCTTATCTTGAACACTCCTTTTGGAGTAATATTTAGGTATTTATAGTGAATTTAAAACAGTTTATGTTTTCAAATAATTTGTGTAAATTTCAAAAGAATTATTGAGAGTTTGAAAGCGTTATCTTTCTTTGATCAGATATTTTATACTGAAGTTGATTGCATATTAAAGTTGTAAGTTTGTTTGAAATAATATTGAGTGAGAATTATTGGCAGATTGATATTATGTTAACAGAAAGTTTAACATTAAGTTTGAAATATGAAATTAAGTGACATAGGTTCTGGTGTCAAGTTGAAAATTTTTGCGTTCCTCACTGACGAGGATGAATTATGTAAGATTTTGATACTATAACTTCACTTATTAAAATGTTTAAATCAAAGTAACAATAGCGTGAGCCAGATATACTTGATAATAAGATACCTTGCATATTAAAGAAAAAAAAAAAAAATGCAGTGAAATTGTCTTATGGCAAAAATCCTATACGGCAAAGTTTTCTACATCAAAATTCCAACGGCAAAAATGTTTACGGTGAATGTTCGTAGAACCTTTGTGGTGTAATGATTTGGTTTGGTTTCATTTGTTTTACAGCATACCATCCTCAATGGGTTATTTAATGCCGACATTTTTTTTTCCTGGTAATATTTTGTTTCGTCAAAAATCTATTTCTGGTAATATTTTTTTCCTCAAAAATGTATAGCTGGTAATATTATTTTCAAAAACGTGTTGCTGGTAATATTTTTTCAAAAACATATTGCTGGTAATAGTTTTTTTTCTTCAAAAATTTATTTCTGGTAATAATTTTTTACAAAGTATTTCTGGTATTAAAACCTATTTTTACACTTTTATAATGCTTTTTACCTCAGTTTCGGGGTTAACTATTTGCCCATAGCTGGGACCCTAACAGGTGCTACCACCCCAGGGTCAGGGTGGAACTGGGAACACCAGCAATTAAGAGGTGGTTCCACTCTTCTCAAAACCTCCTGATCAGCGGCCTTGCTGTTGAGAGTAGTTTATCGTCTTAACCAGGACGATGTGGTGTAATGGATATCATCTTGGAATGAGAAATTGGAGAGCAGAGTTCAAATTCCAGTCAAGTTTATCATATTCTCTTACATGCAAATACCCTTGCGAAAGGTATGAATCCATCTCTTCTACCCCCAATTATGGGTTGAATAGACAGACTGAGTTTTATAGCATTAGTTGGCAACCAGTCCACCACAAAAAGAAATGGCAACAGAGTACAGGAAAATTTTCTGCCTAGTCAGTCATGGATTGAAAGAGATATGGTCGCCCAAGCATGCATCATGTACAGCATTTAACTAACTGAAGTATATGCTTCTGTCTCTTAAGGAAAATAGTCACACAGAAATTTAAACCCTAAAATCAAACGTGAATAAGCATGCTAAAGAATAAGATGCAGTTCATTGAAAAGGATTCTTGCCCACATGAAATGTGAGGTCTTTGCAAATGGTACAAGCCCTTCAAGACTGTGCAGGTGGCACTACCTCTTACATATAACAACATAGCTATCCATTGGAACCTTTTTTTTTCCACAAGAAAAATAGAAAAAAGACAGAAAAAAAAAAAAGAAAAAGAGAGAAAATGAGAAAGACTCCAACAGATTAGTACCATTAAACACTAACTTTTTTGTTTCCATTATGCTTTATTTTAATCCATTTTTCTTTCTTTCAGCTCAAATGTATAATATTATTAAAAGCTGCTGGTGAGCACAGCTGGAAATAACAGGCAAATCAATATATTTCAAGGACATCAGCATTCCACTATAACAGATCAATGACAGTTCTACTACTATAAACACTATTACAACAACAACCATGATCCAATAGTTGCAGGAGTGGTTGGAGTTGGGATATTAGTTGTAGTAGAAGTAATAACAGTTCCTCTAGTAATTTGCTATTTGTAGTGATGACAGAAACAGTCAATGCAATAATTTACTTTAGTAGTGATTTTTTTTTTTATTATTATAATTCCTATGAGGTGACCATAAAATTATTGTCAAGTTCAGCAACAGTTTTCTATATTTTAGTCTTAATAATTATCTTTGTAAATATTTCCAAGTTTATTTCCATGTAAATCAGTAGTATAGATTTCTCAATTCATCTAAAGTTTTGACATTCCATATCATGGTCAGTTGAAAGTAAATACTGATAGGAAAAAATACTAAATCAAAGTTATCAGGAATGTACTAATAAAACTCACAACATAGAAAATACCAAATTTTATGCAATCCAATAGAATGCAACAGGTCAACACTCAAATTATAACAGTATCGTATTGTATTTTTTTAAATCATTCCACCCCAAGCAAGGCAATAAAGTCACTAAGATGCAAGGGATTACTGAGTGTGAGTGAATAAGAGAAAAAGAAAGAGAGAGAACAATAAAAGAAGACAGACGGTAACAATTGACATTGTGTTTAAATTTTTGAAGATCAAAGTTAACTGAAAAGCAAGAAGCCAGAAAAGAGTTTCACAAGCAAGAAGTATGAGAAAAGATACTGTTAGTATAGAACTTAGGGTTACATTTAGCCATTTCAATTGTAAAAGGATGAGACCTAGCTGCCAATCTAGTAGTGCATTTAAATTTGTAAGATATATAAGAGATGCTAACTAAAAGTTTGGTGTATTTGAATAGTGTGTGAATCCCAATTAAGCATGAGTCTAATCTTTTGCAATGACAATTTATAGACTACAATGACTATCAAAGCTTTGATTTATCTTCACCTATGTATTTATTTCTACCACTTAATTATAATTTATCATTATTCCTTTATTTTCACAGCAGTTGTGTCAGTTGTTGAAGATAATGTGACAGCAAGTCTCTACATTACTGTAGCAGCCCCACTCACTGTTCTTGATATTTCATATAGGCAGTTTGAGTTCTTGCTTGGATTTTCACTTGTTCTGGAACTAGTGAGTGAGAGAGAGAGGTGAGAGAGAGGTGAGAAAAAAAAGAGAAGAATCGGAGAAAAAGAAAGAGTGACAGAGATAGATAGATAGATAGATACCTCTCTATCTTTAAGAATTACAGCTGAAGAAGGCTGTAGAACAGACCAGTTGAAACATTGTGGTTGGCAACAACATTAACAATACAAAGTAGGAATTCAATTGTCAGGACATAATGGGACAGTTAATGTCTGTTCTGAAAGAAAGTTATAGATAGAATAACGGTTTACAGCTGAAAGTCGTATTCCTAATGTTAATATGACACTGACCAATAATACTTTTGAACTGTCCAATAATCCTGTCTACATTTCTGTATTTTGAAATTACAACATAGTTTGAAATGATTGTGCAGTTATATTTATCTTACATTTTTATAGTAAAACTGGAAATTTTGAATAAGTATATCTACTAAATATGAACAACAAAATAGTGGTGTCTTGTTGATAGGAAATAGTAAATGAGATATAAATATGACTCACAGCAGGAACACTTATATTTTATGGGTTCCTTTTACTAAAGTACACTGCTAAATACTTTTTCCAGTTTCATATTAGCAAAGGTTAGGTAAACTGAAAAAGAGAATCCTCAGCTATTAGACCTATGCTCTGATTAACATATACTTGTCATTAAGAGATAGCATTCTACAAGACATAGTAGTAATGTAATTGATAGCAGACTGACCAAGAAGCCTTTCAAAAAAAAAAAAAAAAAAAATTTAAATTGATCATTTGGTCCCAAAATCTGACCAAATGATCAAACAATTTTTTTGAGGAGTTCTTGGTCAAGCTGAGAAATTTTCAGTACCTCTTTGTAGAAAAACATTTTTTTTATGTCAAGGCTGTTCAGGATATAGGTGATGCTGGGTTTCCACAAATCTTTATCATTTGTGAATTGCCATATATTTTTGGGCAAAATAATTGATTGCTTTCCTATTGCTTTCTGCCTGTTTGGGAATTTATAATTTTCTTTCTCTTATACTGGATGCCATCCAAGGTTAGAAGGTCTAGTCTACCCTGATATTTAATCCATAGCTGGAGGGAGAAGAAATTAATCCATGCCATTCCCAAGGGAATTTGTTCAAAAGTGAATGCAACAGACTAAACTCAGCTAGATTGTTTCACTATCCATGCTGATATCCCTTTACACTAACCATACATCAATTGATTGATTCATTGATTTGCATTCTATGGCTTAGCAGCCCATTGCTGGTTATTTAAAGCCAAAAAATATTTTTAGATTATAAGAAATATTTTATTTTTTTGAGATAATAATGGTTTACGGATAAAATTCTTACTAATTAACCCATAGCGGGGGAGATACATACCTTTCCCAAGAGTATTTGTGTGTAATATAATGAACCTGATGGGAATTGGAACTCTGCTCTCTGATGTACAATTCCAAGCATAACACTATCCATGCATCCAAGCTTACAGCATCTGGTATTCCCATGCAGTCACTCATCTAGGTACTGTCCAGGCTCAATGTTGCTTAACTTCAGTGATTGTACAGGAACTGGTAGTTCAACCATGCAACAAATAGCAGTTATTATAATCATTATATTAAATTGTCAAAAACAGGCAGTAGAGTATTTGATTTATGGTTTGAGGTTCCATTCCAAATATAAAGCAGATTAAAACACAATACCTCCAGTTAACATAGAATGAATATAATGAAAGTTTGTAATCCACTTTTTTTCTTTTTTTGGAGGGATTAGTCTCCTACTGATAAGATCTTTTGATATCCATGTTATTAACTTTTGACTAGTTTTTCTTTCTTTTGCTCTGTAGAAATTCTCAGGTCATTTGACTGTTAAGCAATAATGAATAAGAGTCAAACAAAATAGATGGCAACAAAACAGGATTTAAAAGAAATTCCTCAAAAAGTATTAATAATCATAATGTTTCATTTAAGAAATTAAGACAATTTATGACATCTTTTACATCTACTGAATGTTATTCTGGTATTTTCTTATTTGGTTGCAGATGTGTGTGTAGTGTAATGGTTAGAGAATTGAAAAGAGAAATCAGCAAGCAGGGTTCAAATTCTGGTTGAGTTTATTAAATTCACTTTCACACAAATATCTTTGATTAAGTTACAAATTCATTTCTTCTCCTCCCAGCTATAAATAAATAGCAGAGTTGACTGGGGTCTCTTGCTTTGAGGTGGCAATGAGTCTAGAAGGAAAACTGAATTCAAAACCATTGTGAAGAAGGATGGGTTTCATCATGCTGTTTTGCTCTAGATACACCACTGCTGCTTTAGCTGCAGTACTGTTGTAATGCTGTCTTTGTTCAAAATAGCCAAGAATTAAGAAGGCCATAGTTAGAGAGAGTATCAAAGGAACAGAAGACTAGGTAAGGAAAACAAAGAAAAAGAAGTTTATTAAATACTTATACATAAAATGGAAAAAATTTGAGTAGATCAACTACTACTCAAATCCCACTTTAATGTAGCTACTTGCCATATTTATAAGTAGGAGCTGTCTCTTGTCACAGTAGTAGGAAAGAGCAGGAAGTACACTGAATCCTACTCTACAACTATGTATGGTGCTCCTATGACCCTAATGTTTTACAGGACTTTCCCTTTATCAATAACCGATTTTTTTTTTACTTATTGATTGGTATGCTGAAAAATAAATGCTTTGTTTTAAATTTATTTTTGTTCAATAATCTAACCAAACTCTTTAATAAAAAGGAAATTTCTGTTAATATTAGCAAAGTGTCATTATTTTTAAAGGTAATATAAAAGTGAATCAAAAATTATCTTAAGCTGCTACAGATGTACTTTATCACTGAAGTTAAGCAATGTTGAGCCTGAGTGACAGCTTGATAATACCAGGTGCAGTAAACTCGGATATGTGGGTGGTGTAATGAATAAGAGTTCCAATTCCAGTTGGGTTTGTTATATACACCTATGTGAAAATACCCTTCGGGAAGGTACGAATCCAGCTCTTCTTCCTCCAGCTATAGGCTAATTAGTAAGACTTATCACTAGAACTATTATTATCTCCAAAAAATTTTTTTATAATCTAAAAATATTTCCTGGTTTTAAATAACTTGCAAACGGTTGAGAGGGCATAGAAAATCATTCAAATCAATCAATAAAACAGATGTACTTTTACCCAACAGATTCAAAATAGCCTGGATAAAGTCATTCTGAAACTCTTATCACAAAGTTCAAGGTACTAAGATTTCGTACACACTTAGAAATACTACAGAAAGTTGATCATTTAAATTAATTTATTCTGCTTTGTAATCGACTTGTTGCTTACTATTCATTGTATCTTGGCTAGTCATACAAAGAAATTCCTTACTAAGTTACAACCACAAATTTTCCTGTTTGTAGCGCTTAAATACTGTTTCTGACCTTGGCTTTGATTGGGTCTAGTTCCTAATAAGATAAAATTATTGCTGCTATTATTCTAAGATCTTTTCTCTATCCAATAGCTCAAGGCAGACCTTTTCTGTACAATCTTCAGTTAAACTTGCAAAACACAGGCAGTGGCCAGCAATCTGTTTTAATCATGAGGCTTTGTTATTTTTCAGTAAGATAGAAAACAAAAACTATTAGGATTCAAAACCTTTATAAATCATAACAACATTTGAAAAGTTATTAAAAGAAAAGAAAAAATTAATGATAATAATAGTAAGACTGAGAATATCTTTCTGCTTGTTTCTTTCTCTCTCCCTAAAAACACACACACAGCCTTTCTCAACCTTCTTACCCTTGTGGAACCCTTGAAATAGTTTTCATGCCTCAGAGCACCCCTGCATAAAAATTGTTATATACCATTATTATTATCTATCTCTTTTATATTTTTATTGTAGTTCATGTGATAAACATTTTTTTCAGATAACTGGTTTAAGGAGGAAAAAAAAAAAAAAAAAATGACCACCATTTTTGTCAAATTTATTGGCAATGAAAAAAAAAAAAAAAATCATATTGTTCATTTAATAATACCTCACACTGAGGTTTTCATTCATAAAAAATCTGTAAACACACACAAAAAATAAAAAAATAATAATCAATATCATTATAATTTATTATAATTTTCCAACAGTATGCTGTAAATGTATAGTAAAATTATGAATATAAAATTAAATAAATATTACTAAAAATACATTTAACCTATCTATCCCTGATTCTCATGGATCACCTAGTGACCTCTTCTGGAATCCTAGGGTTCTGGGGAACACCGGTTGAAAAACACTGATCTAGAACCATGCTGCAAGATGTAAAATGAAGATATAATTAACAAACTCAGTTGAAATATATTGACAATTCAAGCATGAATCTATTTTTGTTGAAATTTCTGAGATGACAAATTATCATTATTATATGCTTTGCTATTCAGACCAACATCACATCTTGATTGTTATGCTCACAATGGTAGTTGGAATCTTTGTGACAAGGAATTATCATTATTATATGCTTTGCTATTCAGACCAATATTTTTCATCATTTAACAGTCAGATGTGCTTAGTTTAATTTGAAACCTATATAAATATAAGTAGAAAAAAGCATATGTTGATAAGATAGTGAGGGTCACAAAGCACTATCCGAAGTCCCCAATAAGGCACAGGGTCAGGTTGTATGCCCTGCTTTTAGGGAGCTCTTAAAATAAAATATATTTTGTGTCTCAGGAGAACCTCTTCATAAAAATGATTATATACCATTATTAATATTTCTTATATTTTCCTCATAGGACGATGTGTTAATATATGGATTCTCATCCCGTACTTGAATGAGACACTCAATGATACATGAATCTGCCATGTACAGGTCCTGACCACTAACCAGTAAAGGCAGTTTTACACTGACCGCAGTATAGACATCACTAAATACATTCCCTATGATTATTATAATTTTAAATAATATAAGAGGTTGAATCCTTTATTATAATAACCAAGGATTTTCCAACAATATGCCATATGTGTATAGTAAAATTACAAATATAAAATTAAACAAAAATTTCTCCAAAATGCATTAACCTATTTATCACTGTTTCTTGTGCAACAGCTAGCAAACTCTTGTGGAAACTAGGGTTCCAGGAAACACCAGTTGAGAAACACTGGCCTAAAATATCTTATTTTAAAGCTAGATAAACCACCTGATTACAGTTGATAATGATCGTGTGTGAAATACTTGCTCAACATCAATATGTTTTCTTGCTTCAACTTGAATCAGTTATGCTTACATAGAAATAGTTTAAGAACCAACTATTCATCAGCAGATCTACAACAACAAGCCAGTGAATAGTAAAAAGAAAATAATAATTAATGTCATTAATGATCTCTCGGAGAAGAGAAATAAGACATATGAACTTTTAGATTATATACAGACTATTATTTTTCAGAGAAGTGTATTGCTGCTCTGACTTCCTTGGGCTGACCTTTGAGGTCAGATACACAACAAAACAAAGGAAGTCAATTTTGATTAGATGAGCCAGCATGAGAACGATAGATAGAAAAAGGTTTTCTGGGAGTTGGTTCTTACACATCAAACAATGTAGATGTGTTCTTTTCATCTCTAAAAACTGCTCCCTAATGGAGGGGTAGAGCAAACCCACTGGATATTTAGAAATGTACACATCAACGTGTTTAATAAATTAGCTAAGATTAAAATTCCTTTGTTGATGTCTTTCATCTCTGAACTCAAAAAATATTTCACTGGAAGATGACAAAGAGAAGAGAGACAAATTATAACATATGAGCAAATCGGCGCTGTTACCCAAGACCACCCCCATGAGGGGGTTACATGACATTGTATTATTTGGTGCTGTGACCATGATCTCCTAGCATGGGAGGGTGCAGAATGTGGAAAAGTTCAGAGAGGATTCTCAGACTGAGGACTCAAACAAGGAAATATGAAAAAAAAAGTAATTATGACATATGGACAGGAAAAAAAAAAAAAAAAAAAAAAAGAAACTGTAATTACTATGTTCTCCAACTCACATACACACACATCTAAGCAACAAACCAAAACAGGAAGTAATGAGAAGAAAAAAAAAACAGTAAACGAACAGGGTTTGGTGGACAAACAATAGAAAAAGGATGAATGGGGCAAAGAAAGATACAATGAACACCTAAACTCATGCATGCACACTGGAGAAACAATGTCAATTTTGATGAAACATTTTAGTGAGAGACTGATTTTTGCTGCTTTGTTTTGTCTTTTTCCAAAGGTTTAGAACCATGTGTGAAAATCTATTGTTGATTTTGATTGTCATACTGTAATGTTGTATGTCTGACAGTCTATTTTTTTGTTTTTATTTTGTTATGGAAAAATCTGGCTGTGAAAGTGTCACACTTAAAAGAAAATTTTCTGGAGAAGGAAATTTGACCAGTAAATAAATTTTCTTGACATTGACCTTTGAGGAGGTTCAATGATGTGCCATATGGAGGCCTGATTTAGCATACATAATGCAATGGAAAATTTTTTGGAAAAGAAAGACTGACGGAATTTTGTGATGGGGTATTCCTACTGTGATTTATGTGAACTGTTAATGAATTGAAAATTTTTGTGACTATGGTTTTGTGTGCATTCAAATATTTTAAGTTTAGAATTATTTTGTTAATTGTAATTAACTGACAAATGATTGTTTTTTTTTTTCATTTTTGTAACAGTGTGGAATTATTTTTTTTTAATTTAAGAACCATGTGTGCGTTCTTTTACTGTCATTGATTGAAGAATTAAGTTGTTAATAGGTAGGTGTAAGTGAGCGAGAGAAAAAAAGAGTGGGCATGGGTGAATGAGAGAAAGAGAGTGGGCATGAGAGAGTGTGCATGTGTGAGTGAGAGTGTGCATGTGTGAGAAAGAGAGAGAGTGTATGTGTGAGAGAGAGAGAGAGTGTACGTGTGAGAGAGAGAGAGAGTGTATGTGTGAGAGAGAGAGAGAGTGTATGTGTGAGAGAGAGAGAGAGTGTATGTGTGTGAGTGAGCAAGACAGAGAAAGAATGTGCATGTTTGAGCAAGAGAGAGTGTGAGTGAACAAGCAAGAGATAATGTGCATGCATAAGTGAAAGAGATAGTGTGCGTGTGTGAGAGAGAGAGAGAGAAAGTGTGTACAGGTGTGAGTGAGAGAGAGTGTGCAGGTGTGAATCTGTGGCAATACAAATTGGCCAGAAGCTGACTAAGACATAATGTGACGTCAGAGTTGCCCACCAAACATACATTCAGTGACATCTATCCGTGCATGACATAGCACTGCAAATATCCCAATATTATACAATTGTTGACAAGAGCAGCCTCTCTAAGTGCTACCAAAGAGTTCAGGTTCCTTACTACTACCTGTCAGGATGCAGCAATCAGAAAACATCTAACCCACTACCCCCATAATCAAAAGTCACAACAACTGAGCAGTTAGATCACCAAAAAGTAAAACCTGGTTCAGTTTTTCAATACCTATCTGGCTTGCTTTTTAAAATATTTATTAACAGATTTTAATGAAATCCAGGTTATCCAA